GTCCCGATCTGCTCGATCTGCGCTGCGATCAGCTTTCGCCTAGGTGCGGAGTGCAGGCCCATATCTCCCGAGATCTCGCCACATCGGCCTCGAGATGCGTGTTTGCCGCTTCGCAACCTTCTCGTCCGCCTCCTTGGACTCGTCCACCTAGGGTGGGTTCGGGTATTGTGGGGTAGGGGAGGGTGGGTTCGGGTACCGTGGGGTAGGGGAGGGTGGGTTCGGGTACCGTGGGGTAGGGAGGGTGGGTTCGGGTACCGTGGGGTAGGGGAGGGGATGGCTGTCTCTCGGCTGCACCTCCGCCGCACCTCACCATCGAGGGAAGGAGGGAGGGAGGGAGGGAGGGCAGGCGCGAAGGCAAGGCAAGGCACCGCTTTGCAGTCGCGGCGGGTGGCTGGCGAGACGGCAGCGGCCTTGGCGAGGTGTGGCGAGGGTGTGTGTGGCCAGGGTGTGTGGGGCGGTGGAAGAGGGCGGTGCAAGAGGCTCGGGTGGTCTCGGGCGATCTCGCGTGATCTCGGGTGATCTCGGGCGATCTCGGGTGATCTCGGAAGTCGCCTCGCCCAGCCACGCGTCGTTGGTCTCGTCCGCCTCGTCGCCGCGCCGCTTCCACACGTAGTTGAAGTCGTCGTCAAAGTGCCCCTCCGCGCGCTCCTGCTTCATGTTGAACGGCTCGATCGCGTACCCCGCCTCCGCCTGGCTCATCGACGTGCGCTCCACCTCAAACCGCTCCGTCCCGCCGAGGTCGAGGTCGCGCGTGTCGCCCGCATCGCCCGAGAGCTTACCGTCCGCGTCGAAGCCGCCGCTCTCCGCGCCGTTGGCCGCGTCGCCGCCCTCCTCGCCCTCCTCGCCGCCGCCCTCGCTCGACGGCCCGGCGCCGCCACGGCGGCCTCGCCCGCGGGGCGGCTCGGGCGGCGGACGCGAAAAGCCGGACGCGCCGCGGCCCCGGCCCGCCACGTAGCCCGGTGGCGCCTCTGTGTTGAACTTGTCGGCGAGGTGCGAGAGCGAGGGGCGCTCGTGGGCCATGTGCCCAGCCCCGCGCTCGCTGCCGCGCCACTGTCGGCGTGCGAGCCGTATTTTCTTCTTGAGAGCGCCTTCGTAAGTAAATAGTACAAACCCAATGTCCCTTGCGAGCGGTCCTTCGTTGCAGTCGCACACACGCACACGCCGCGCCGCACCGCGCGCCCGCCCACTGCCCCGCCCGCCCAGGCGGGAAAGAGATGAGGGGATGGGACAGCAAAGGAGGAGCACAAACACGTACGTATGGGAGGGTTCAGTTGTGCGCCACGCTGCCCGGCGTCTCTCACTTTCCGGGACAGCCCCGCCCTTTTGAGGCGACCTACGCCGCGCCGGGTGGGGGGCGCGCCCGGTCCTCGACGGAGCCGCGCGCCCCGAGCGACCCAGGCGGCGAGTAGTCGCCCTCGAACCTTCGGCATGTAGTAGTCCGTGGTTAGCGCCCTTCCTCCCTCGCACGTCCCTACTCGTATTGCACCCGAGGCGCCCGCGGCATCTCGCCGCCCATCTTCGGCCACGCGTTGTAGTCGAAGATGGCGGCGTTGCGCCTCGCGATGATGGTCGAGTGTACTTGCAGGAAGCGCTTGCGCTCGCTGCTGACCCGCCATCGTTCGCTGTCGGAGGATACGCCAGTTTTTTTTACAGGCGTACACAGGCGGCTTTCGGCGGAGCTGCCGATCTAAAAAAGAAAGAAAGAAAACCCGTAATGCGTCATGTGTGTGTCCGCCTTGCGTTTGTTTCATAACATCGAAGGCTAGCTCAAAAAGAAAAACGGTCTTTCTTGTCTTTCCTCTCTTGTCTTTTCGCCGCCCTTGTCAGCATCAGGGCCGGCGTCGAGGAAGAGATCGTCCATCGTGGTGGCCAAGTGCGGACCAATACAGTTGGTTTTGGTGGTGGTGGCCGCGCTTTCCCGCTAACTAACCAGGGCGTCTTTCACGTCTCTTCCTCTTCCTCTTCCTCTTAAGGCCAAATCAACAACATGCCCGGCTGATGCCAGGGCCAAACCCACTGCCCGGCTGGTGCCAAGGCTCAATGACTCTCCTCTCCGTCTCTCCCCCCCCCTACTCAGACAGGACTGATCCGCACGACACACGACACACTCTCTCCTACTATCCGACAGACGCTGCTTGACCGACACGTGGAGACACTTCTACCAAAAAATCAAAAAAAATCGAGCACTTGCGTTACATGGGCATGGCCGGGGTTTCTGCACCGAACGATCTTACTTTCGGTCTATCGAAAGTGTTGATCGATAACAAGGCTACCCAACGCGGCCAAAGGATATCCACCTCGAGAACCTCGAGATAACAAGGCTGTGAACTGAGTGCTTGCCCGTTGTGGCTGCTTTCGCAACCTCCGTCACCGTGTGGCGGACGCTGCCACGTCGACCCGACCTTCGCAGCCCATCCTGTTCGCGCATGGCCCTCTCCGGCGCCATCATCGCCACCGCCTGCGTCGGCTCCGTGTACGCCCTCCGACGGCGCATGCTCGGCCGCGGCGAGGGACGGGGACGCAGTCTGGCGACACTCGAGCCGCTCCCCGACGTCGCGGCGCTGAGTCCTCTGGTGCTGCGCGTCCTCGGCGGCAACCCAGGCCTGTATACGCTGCAAGGTACCAACACGTACCTCGTCGGCAGCGGAGAGAGCCGGATCCTGATTGATGCCGGCGAGGGCAGGCCAGACTACCTCCCGCGGCTGCTATCTGCCATGGAGGGCGCTGGCGTGCGGCGCGTGAGCGACGTGCTCATCTCTCACTACCACCGCGACCACACGGAAGGGCTGATCGAGCTGCGGCGGCACTTTGGCCCCTCGCTCCGCGCGTGGAAGGTTGACCCGCCTTATGCTGGCGCTCACGGGCCCTCCGCCTCGCCGGTTTTTGCAGAGGTGCGCCCGCTGCAGGGCGGGGAGGTGCTGTGCACGGAGGAGAGTCACCCACACGCGACGCGTCTGCCTGATCCTTGCGACACACCGAGGCAGGAACGAGTCACACGTCTGTAGGACGGCTCAGCGTCGCTTCGCGTGCTGTGCACCCCGGGCCACACCCCGGACCACGCGTGCTTCGAGCTTCGCGAGGAGGGCTCCGTCTTCACCGGCGACTGTGTGCTCGGCGGCTCCTCCGCGGTCTTTGAGGACCTGCACGACTACATGACATCGCTGAAGAGTGTGCTGGCGGTGGCGCGGGGGCGGCTCTACCCCGGACACGGGCCTGTGATAGAGGACGGCGCCGAGGGCATCCGCAGCTACATCGGCCACCGCGAGGCGCGCGGGGGAGAGGGGCGAGGCTCGGCAGAGGCGGGAGAGGAGGTGGGGAGGACCGCCTCGTCGAGCCTGTGGCCCTGGCGCAAGAAGCGAGCATCCAAGCCGCACGTCGGACGCATTGACGCTGCCCTCCTCTCAGGCGCGCGAGGCGCAGATCGTCGCCGCCCTCGAGCAGACGTCGTGGTGGGCCCTGGAGCTCGTCGTGCGAGACCGCGGCGCGCCTTCTCACCCCGCCTCGTGCTGCCCAGGTGCGGGCTCTCGCCACTGGGGCTTGTGCGCCGCGTCTACCCGCGGCTGCCCTGGACGCTGCGCCTCGCCGCGGCGCACAACGTCGCGCAGCACCTCGACGCGCTGCAGAGGCAAGGCAGGGTGGCTCGCCGGGCGTGGCTGCCGCTGCCCCGCGGGTACTTCCGCCTCATCGCGATGCTGGCCAGCTGGTGGCGCCTTCTGTGAATGAGGAAGTGCACGGCGGCAGCGGCGCCGTGTGTGGGCGGAGAGCAGCAGCGGCAGCGGAGCAGCGGAGCAGCAGCGGTAGCGTTAGGTTGGCGGTCGCTGTTCAAGTGGCGGCGCTCCTCCAAACTTGAGTGGGGGTGGAATCCGGGCGCACGTGGCTCCGCACGTGGCTCGGCATCAGAGGCCTCGCTGCTTCCCTGCGCCGCCACCAAAGAGGTCGCAAACGTCTTGGTTGAGATGGACTCGAACGTGGTCCAAGACCGACAGGACTGCAGCGTCTGCCGCCAGGACCTCTGGCTCTGCCCGGAGGAGCTCGAGCTCTCCCTGCCTGCAGAGAGCTGGCCGTCTCCGCCCCCGCCCTCCCCTCCCCTCCAGGCCCTCCAACCCCCTCCGGCATTTCTCCCAGTGCGGGGTGTGCGGCGTTTCCCACTTGCCAGCTCGTCAACGCATGTTCATGTTGATCAACTCAAACTCGTGACAGTCGTCGCACCACACGACGCGGTGAATAGATTCCAAGCCGTTCCGGTGCGCCCTATCGCAGACAGCTGTCTGAGCCGTCTCCTTCCCTAAGAGCTCCCTAACCCCGCCTAAGACGTACGGCTTTAGGGGGTTACGGACAACGTCCAATCTCTAAAATCTGAGGATTCAGGATTGAGGGCTTGCTTCAGTGAGGCCAAAGTGAGTTTATGGATGTGTGAGAACGGTGCGGGACACGAGTCACGCGGACCGACTCGTTGCACGTTGGTGACTCTGCTGCACGCCGTTTCAGAATTTTTCTCAGGACTCAGCGTGAGCCCAGCTGAGCGAGACGTGGAAAAGAGTGCCACCGTCGGGTAGGACGGGTCGGCCCGGAGTATCAGAGTAGCCGTCGTGGTCGCGGCGAGCAGCGCCGGCCACTCCGGCGCCGCGTCGGCAACGTGGGAGCATGTCCACCGCCACTTCGCGGTCGCAGCGCTGTATACTACTAGTACATTCCCGTAGGAGGACTCTGCTGACAGGGTTATTTTGGGGCGCTGTCTACCCCCTACTTACTAAGAGCTCCTCCGTATTAGCCGAGCGGCACGGAGGCTACAAGGCGGGCTCTCGTGGGGGTTCAGGCCCGCCTAGCGTCACTGCGACGTCGGATGGCGCGCGGGTCGCTGTGCTCGTGAAGCTTGATAAACGGGAAGTCAAGATTCTCCTTGCGCACGGACTTCACCTTGTGCTTCCACAGGGCAAACTCGAAGTTGAGCTGGTCACGCATGCAGTTGGTCTGCACCATGGCATCCCACCACCCGTGCATTGCCTGCTGGAGCGCGGGGCTGTTCCACCGGCGCGCGAGAACAGCCGTCTCGGCCAGCCCCATGTTGTCAGGGTAGCCGCGCGTCTTATGCAGCTGCGCCACTCTGTCCAGCGACGCGTTGGAGCACAGCTTCATTTTGCGGACCTCCAACCCCTCCTCGTGCGTCGTGTTCCGGTCAGGGTGCCCAAAGTACACAATGTCCGCACGCTGCTCGAGGAGCGGCTGCAGGGTCTCGGAGATCACCTTGTGTAGCCAGCATTGCCACGTTTCGGCCGGGAAGACCTCGAGTTTCTTGTGCACAGCGTGCACCCTGGGCCCACGATGCCCGTCGTGGTACAGCACATACTCGTACGTCTTGAGCACCGCCAGCTCCGCCTGAGCGAAGCCGACAATCTTGGTCTCGCGCTGCTGCCGCTTGGGGTGCCTCGACGTGCGAAGTCGGACGGGGGACCACCCCATGCGGGATGCAGCCTGCGCCATCTTGTCCGAGTCTGTCACGAGGTAGCAGACCACGTTGAAGGACTGAGCGATCGGCGTACCCCTGCCGTACGCTTCTCTGCAGCTATACGGAACCGTCTTCTCGTACGCGCCCGTGACCACGGTGTAGAGCGCAACCTTCGGCAGCGCGAACGTGCGCGTCTCTACCCGAGCGGCCGCCTCCCGCTCAGCGATTGCGGTCGAGGTGTTGCACGCGACAAGGTAGCCAGACCCAAACAAGCTCACAAGACACACAGCCAGCTGGCTGCCACACGAGTTGGCGTACACATAACTCAGGGCCACATTCTCCCTGTCGCCCCCCCCAGCACTCCCAGGTGCCAAGAGAAACAAACAAGGGCACAACAAACGGGAGGGCCGAACTGAGGCGCCCGTGGGGACCCCGCAATTCCCTTCCCCCCTCGGAGGGGGCCGGACGGAGGCGTACCCCGAGGGCCCCGCTCTTTCCCTCGCATAGCGGCCACTCTTCGGATCGCTGGTCGAGCGACCCGGGGGATGCCCCCCCGCGCGCCTGACCCAGGCGCGAGAAACGAATCTGCGAGGCGTGGCCGCACATGCGGCCCGATGGGGAGGAACGGGGCGAGCCCCCTCCAACCCACCCGCGCTAGGTCTCGGGTTTGACGCATGGGGTCACTCCCGCGAGACCCGTGAACTAGCCGGGGCAGTCGGAGAAGGGGCAACTCCGTGCACTGACGGTCGGCCGTCAGAAAACACGCCTCCGTGGCTCGGGTTACACCAATCCTCGCTACCCAACGCGGCCAAAGGATATCCACCTCGAGAACCTCGAGAGAGAACAGACAACAGGGGCACAAAACCGAATTTAAAAAAAACAAAAAAAACAAACTCGCTGCGTCGGCGGCTTAGCCGTCGACTGCTCCGTCGCGAGGTGACTCGAAGCTGCCCCCCCATCCCGAATGCGTCGCATCAACGAGGCGGCGGGCCGCGCTGGCGCCGCCATCCGAGATCTGCAGCCTCGACGCGGCGACAGCCCGTTTGCCGCGAGCCGGCCGAGCCCGACCCGGCGGCACTCCGTGGGGAGCCAGCGGCACTCGGGCTACTCGGCCTCCAAGGAAGGCAAGGAGAGCCCGACGAGCTCGCGCCCGTCCAAGCCGACGCTCTCCTACCACGGCCCGTTTGCCGCCGAGCTGCTGCCCGCCGCGTCGGCTGCGGCGAGAGCGGCGTACGAGGCGACGTTGTCGATGACGAACGATGAGCTGCAGCAGCTTGCGGAGCTGGTGGCGGCGGCGCACTGTGACCGTTCCACGTACCTCTCGACGGAGGCTTGGCAGTTTGGCACAACGGCGTACGCCATACCGGGGAATGAGGTGTGCGCAGACTGCGGGTCGTCCGAGCCGCCCACATGGGCTGCGATGGTGGGGGAGGCCGACGCGGTGCTGGTCTGCAATGAGTGCTGCGGCGGCCACCGCGCCCTCGGCGTCCACCTCTCGGCGCCTCTCTCCCTCAAGATGGACCGGTGGAGCGACGAGAAGCGCCAACGCCTTCTTTCCTCGGGCAACCGCGCCGTCAATGCGACGCTGGAGGCGCACGCGGCGGCGGCGCAGTGCAAGCCGAGCTCGGAGGCCGACGTGTCCGCGAAGCACGTCTTTGTGCGCTCCAAGTACGAGCGCCGCGCCTTCGCCGCCGAAGGCGATGGCGAGCTGCTGCCGTCGACGCCTCCCGGCAGGCGGTGCGCGGGCGGGGCACCGCAGCAGGTGCACGCGGGCATCCTCATCGTGCGGCTGATCCGCGCGCATGACCTGATCGCGGCGGACTTCACCGGCAAGAGCGACCCGTACGTCAAGGCCACTTGCGGAAAGGCGAAGAGCAAGACGAGGGTGATCCGGCGCACGCTCTCGCCCGAGTGGAATGAGGTCCATATCTCCCCATATCTCCCCATATCTCCCTCTAGCATCGCCGCGCTCTTTGTGGTGGGCTGCCTAGACCCCCATATCTCCCCATATCTCCCCATATCTCCCTCTAGCATCGCCGCGCTCTTTGTGGTGGGCTGCCTAGACCCCCATATCTCCCCATATCTCCCCATATCTCCCCATATCTCCCCATATCTCCCCATATCCGAGGTGCTCCGGCTCAACGTCGAGGACGTGCGCGACGTGCTCATGCTGCAGGTGAAGGACAGCGACACGATCGGCAGCAGCCCTCTCGGCGACTGCAGCCTCAACCTCGCCGAGCTCCGGCACAGCCACGGGACAGAGCTGTCGCTCGAGTCGCTGTTCACACCGCACGACCGGTGTCTTCTTTTTATAGGCCCAACCACGGGACAGAGCTGTCGCTCGAGCTGCAGAACGTCCGGTCGGGCCGCCTCGTGGCGGAGGTGACGTGGTGCCCCCTCGACGGCTAGCCGAGGCGGGCATGCGGCGGGCGGTTGCCGAGCCACGCGGCACATGCGGCATGATAACGAAACCTCTCCTCGTTTCTGACAGACTGTACACGTCTGTACTGTGGGCTCTTGTCATGGCTCTTGTCAGTGGCTCGTGGAGTGGCCTCGTGTGTCGAGTACTTTCAATGTGTTTTTGCTACTGCGTCGTTTTGTGTGCACACGCAGGTAAGGTAAGGTAAGGTAAACTTCTGCACACACACAAGGTGTACGACAACGCGCACGGCCACATGTCGGCCAGCTTCTCTCGTGTGTCGTGTTTGGGACCGCGAACGGGAACACGCGGTACGGTCTAGGACTAGGTCTACGCACTACGTACGGGGAGAGCGGGGGACAGGCACACGTCGATCTCTCGCGAACGGGTGCAACTTGTGTGTGGGCGCGCAGTGGGGGGGAGTGTGTGTGTCGCCCTGTGCATTGTGGCGCCCCCAAAAGGTGAAAATTCCCAACGAATCGCCGCCAATAGCTCAGTCCTTCGCCTCACTTCTTCGCCAGCGACATCCCTCCCCCCAAGAACGGCTTCTCGCCCAGCTCCAAACACTTGTTCGCAAATTCCTGGCAATCGGCCATCTTGAGAAAGTGTGTCCTATCCACCGGCTCCGTCCACCCCTCGGCGGCGTTGAACCTACATGCACATGTCGCAGTCGCTAACTCCCTGCGTGCGTGAGCTGTCGCACAGTGGGTGCCTAGCGGTTGTCTTCGTGAGTGCAAGCTGCCTAGGCGGCTGTCGCGTGGTGGGTGTCTAGGTGGCTGTCGCGTGGTGAGAGCCTAACTCGTAATTGGAGGCGCCTCGCCTGTGAGTAGTGTGGCTTGTGCAGACGAGAAGTTTCTCGCTCGCGCTAAAATAGGCTGGGTTGATGGACTTCCAGAGGCCAGGGCCGATGTCGCCCAATAGATCTTCCGTCCGGGTCGAGCCTGAGACAGCAAGCGTCAGAGCCCAGTCGGCAGCCGCGATACGCGTCGGCGAGGGAGGTGTGCGTGAGAGCGGCTAGGCTGCGGCGCGGCGCCGGTTAGGTATGTGTGAGAGCGGCTAGGCTGCGGCGTGCCAGTTAGACGTGCCGAACGGGGTCGGGAGGCGGCGACTTCCTCTCGAATCTTTCGCCGCAAGATGCTCCGATGATGCTCAGGTCGATCGCGCTTCGACTCGGGCTCCTACTCACGTCGTTTTGGAGTGGAGCCAGGCTGTGAGTGACTGCTCTCGCTTTATCGTCGTGCAGCGCTCACCGGTTTGCCGAACATCTCGTAAAGCATCTGGCGCGGAAGGAGGAAAGTGAGAGGCTGCAGGCGCAAGGGCCACGGTGGCTACGGCGCACTCCGGAACCTTCTCCTGCGCTTGCCTCTCGGTGAGCGGCATGGCGGAAGCGAGCGGAAGCGACCGTTTCGCGGCAGAACCCTCCAAATCCGGCGGCGTTCGCAGTCGTCGTCGTGCTCCGGTGGGTCGCACGCAGCGCGCGCCCATGGAGGGACCGGCGGAGAAGGGCGCAGTTATCAGCTTTGTCGTGGGCACGGCGCTCACCATTGCCGCCACAGCCGGAACGGGAAACACTCTCTTCAACGAGTTCAAGGATGTGTTTGACGACTTGTGGGAGTGGGACGATCGCGCGTGGGAGGTAGCCGGCCATTATTACGCCTCCTTTGCGACACTGGTGGTGGCAACGCTGATGGGGATGCTGTCGATCATTACCGGCTGCTGCCGGGCGTGGAAGTGCGCTGCAGCTCACTCCTTCCTCTCCTTCCTCTTCATCCTCCTCTCCTTTGTCTGGTTCGAGCCCTTTGACCTGACAGAGAGCTGCGACGGCAGCATCGCCTGCGTGCTGGTGGCCACCACCAGCGACAGGAGAGGCTGGATACCACCGTTTGAGTGGCAACACGGGCTTTCCGTCGCTTCGCTGGCCCTCTTCCTCATCGGCTTCTTCTGCGCGCTCGGCGCAGGCATGGAGAGCACCAGGGAGAGAGGCGTGCTATTCAATCTTGTCCTCGGGTCGGTCCTCACCATCGCCGCCGCCGGTGGCACGGGCGACGTCCTGTTTGAAGACCTCGAGGAGGTGGACGGACTCACCTTGCCACGGCACTTCTATGCGTCATTTGCCTTGCTGGCGGTGGCCATCATGACGGGCCTGTCGGCTGTCGGCACCGGCTGCTGTCGAGCATGGAAGTGCGCCGGGGCATTCTCCTTCCTCTCCTTCCTCCTCGTCTCCATCTCCTTTGTGTGGTTTGCCCCCTTTGACATCGCCGATAACTGCGACGGCAACATTGAGTGCGTGCTGATGGATGCCATAGCGGGCAACCGAGCGCCGCCCTTCGAGTGGCAGCACGGGGTTGCTGTTGCGGCGCTCTTCATTTTTCTCGTTGGCGCCTGCGGAGCAGCCTCCGTCGAGAAACCGCTCCCGGACATCCGCACGGTGGCGCGAGGGGAAGAGAGCGCGGTACGGGTCCCCGTTTTTGCACGCACGTGCGGCGGCGTCGAGTCGGGGCTGCTCAATGGATGCCTCGCGACGGCAACCTCGCTCGCCTTCTTCTTCTCCACGCTCTTCCCGCACCGCGTGGCGAGTGAGACTCCCGCGCCCGGCCCAGCCACCGCCCACCCCAGCCCGTTCGTTTAACCCGACGCCGTACTGTCCGCAGTCAAGGATACCTACAGCCCCGCATCGTACCCGGGCCAGGCCGCAGCCTCGCTCCTCTCTGCCGCCGGCGCTTCCCTCCTCTTCCTAAACGTGCTTGTGGAGGCTGTGTGCCACCGCTCCAGCGGCGGTAAGCTGAGTGCCTCAGCATGGCGCTCCTTTGGCGGCATCTACCTGCTATGCCTAGCCATCATGGCGTCCTGCTTCTGCTGGTTCGCGCGGCCCGCAGATGGGTGGGGTGACAGCGTCGCGGTCGGCAACGAGAGCGACGAGATTCGGCATTCCTGGGGCCTCGGGCCGCTGATAGGGTCGCTAATCAACGCGAGTCTCGCCGCGTCGAACACCTTCCGCGCGAGTCGCGAGGTGGCGCGCGGGCCAGGAGTCGCCGCGGGGCCGCTGAGCAAGGCGTCGGTGAAGCCAGCACGACCTGCCCGGGTCCCTCCCCAGCGGCGGGTCCCACCTTCACCGGCACCGTCGCCGGCCCCGGCCGCCGTACTCGACCGGAGGGCCATCGACACACCGGCACCGGCGCCGGAAGCAGCAGTGGCGGCCGAGAATCCAGCCGTGCCGCCAGCCCCAGCTCTTGCGCAGTAGAGAGCTCTCGCTCTTTTTTTGCCCCTTTTGGGGGAGCACAGGAGAGGACAGGTATTCGGTGGGGAGAGGTTGACAAGAGATAATTCATGTTTAGTTTTGACACTCACTCAATTATTACGCTGGCACTGCCATGTTGTTTCCCTGCTGCTGTCCACACACGTCCACAATCACAAGGCACACCATCACTGCGCATTGCACGTACACTCACGTACACGTACACGATCGATGAGAGATCCGTCTCGCGCCGTTATCACGCCGTGGCCGCCAAGCCCTGCCTGGCCAGAAGGCTGCCGAGGACGGTCGAAGCGGCTGCGGAGCGTGAGAGCACCAGCGCCACAGCCAGCGCCACCGCCGCGGTGGCGCCCACTATGGCGGCGGTCGAGCCCGCCGATGCGGCAGATGGGCGCGACTGCGGCGGGCAAAAGTCCTCCGCCGCCTCGACAAGCAGGGCGGTCTTCTGGCTAGGAGGGGTTGTGCCGACGTCGACGGCGAGGTTCGGCCGATTACTGCGCGGCGTCGAGACAGCGAGCTCGGCGACGCGGCGCGCCCGCTCGGCGTCGGCCGCCGCCGCGGCAGTGGCTTGGTTCGCCCTGCGCTCAGCCGCCTCGTCGGCTTGTGCCGCCTCCGCCTCGGCTACGCGGCGCGCTTGCTCCTCATGGATGGCAATGTCGGCAAAGAGGGAGCTCGCCTGAGAAGAACGAGGTGAAGATGAGACGACGACTGAGGTGATGGGCAGAGAGGAGGAGGCACAGCTACCTTGCGCTGCAAACTCTCCAGTGCAGCTGCCTTGGCCTGCTCGGCGACGCGGCGCGTGCGCTCGTCTTCAGCCGCGCTAGCGGCCACTCGGCTGCTCGCCTGGCGCCGCAGCGACTCGAGCGCCTGCGCCTTGGTTGCCTCTGCCGTCCGCCGAGCCGCCTCCTCTTCCGCAGCGCAGCTTGCAGCTATCGCCCGCACCTGGCGCTCGAGCGCCTCCTGCGCGGCCGAGCCGGCCGCCTCGCCGGCGGGGCGCTCCGGCTCCGATGGCTCGGGGATCGCCGCGCGGCTCTCGAATGGGCTGCCGGAGCCAAAGGAGAAGGGGGACGAGCTTGCCATTTCTGTGGAGGGGGCGGGTACGTAGAACAGATACCCCAGACGTTCTTGTTCCTTGGCCACGCAAGTTTGCTTCGGAGAAAGAATTACACCGTGGTCAGAGCAGATAGGCTCGACACAGGTGCGAACTGGCGCGTGCTAGCACTATCACAGGCAAAGAAAATAGAAGGTTTATTTGAATATCGCGCCCTAGACAGCTACGGGCTGCTCGGACCTCGCGGGACGCGGCGCCAGGGAGAGCTGAGAGGCGCGGCGGCCGGCGCGGGGATAAATAAATAAAACGGTCAAACTCTGAGAGAGAGATGGGATTTTTAGGGACATGTGTCCCCGCCCTGCACGATCGTCTTGGTGTGGCCGCGGCCGCGCGGCGGGGGACAAATTGCTCCGCCTCCGGGTTTATTTACGCACACGCACGGCGCCGTCAGTGAGGCGTCAGCGAGGTCGTCATCAGTCCAAAACTCCACACACACAGTACGAGTCTCACACGCCCTGCCCGCCTCGCACCCGCCGCTTCTTGCCCGCCGCGTCCTTCCCTCTCAGCGTCGCGGCGAGGTCCGCGGCGCTGCGCTCCTCCGCCGGCTTGCGCTTGGCCGCCGCGGGGCGCGCCGCCGCCTCCTTTGGCGCCACGAAGCGCGCTTGCCGCTTGGCCGCTGACGCCGC